ATGAAAATTCTGTAGATGTCCATTAGGTCTAGTTGGTCTATAGTGTCAATTAACTCTGGTGTTTCCTTGCCAATTTTCTGTCTGGTTCATCTGTCTATTACCAAAAGTGAGGTATTGAAGTCCCCCATCTATGTCTCTCTTTGGCTCTTTTAAATAGCCAGATAACCTGTAATTAGGTTCATATTCATTTATAATATTCACTTCTTCCTGTTGAATTGATCCCTTAATGATTATATAGTGTCCTTCTTTCTCTATTTTAACTTTTTTATGCTAAAGTCTATTTTGTCAGATACTGGATGGATACACAAGTTTTTGGTTTCTGTTAGCATAGAATATCTTTTTCCATCCTTTCATTTTCAATCTGCATGTGTCTTTGTTGGTGGGATGTATTTCCTGTAGGCAACAAATAAATGGGTTTTGTTTTTTAATTCATTTAGTCAGTTTGTGTCTTCTAACTGCAGAATTGAGGTCATTTACATTCAAAGTGACTACTGATGATTAATAAGTTCTCCCTGCCATTTTTCCATAAATATTCCTATTGTTTACTTTGGATTCCCTTTGTACTTCTACTAGGAGATTTTTTTGCCTTCACCTTCTTTCATAGTGATGACCATGTTTCTGTGTTTCTGTGTGTAACATATCCTTAATAATATTCTTAATTTTTTTTGTAATGCTGGGTGGGTGGTAACAAATTCTTTCAATTTCTGTTTGCTGTGAAAGATCTTTATTTCACCTGCATTCATTAAAGATAGCTTTTCAGGATACAGTACTCTGGGTTGACAGTTTTATTTCTCTTAAGACTTGGACTATATCTCACCATTCTCTCCTAACCTGTAAGGTTTCTGATAAGAAGTCTGCTTTGATTCTAACAAGAGATCCTCTGAAATCATCTGGAATTTCTCTCATTCACATATTAGAATCTTTTCTTTATGTTTTACTGTGGTGAGTTTGACTATAATGTGTCATGTTGAAGATTTTTTCTGATCATGTCTATTGGGAGTTCTATGTGCTTCCTGTACTTGGATATCCCTTTCTTTCTCCAAATTAGGGAAGTTTTCTGTTACTATTTCACTGAATTTCTGTGGTTCTGAAGGACTGGGGGGAGGGTGACCCCGGCTATTGCTGGGTGTGTGCACAGAGGCTGCCTGTGTCCACCTGTCTGTGTCCAAAATTGGTGTCATCTCTCCCCCTGCTGGCCTCAGGTCTGTGCTGTAGCAGGGAGAGGGGGAGGGAGGCAGATCACCTTCTCCCCCTCAACTTCTGGGTGATTGGTGGTCTGCTGTTGTGGGGATCCACGTAGGACTCCAGCAGCAGTTCACACAGCTCTCCCTCCCATTGTATTAGCAGTGCCGTGGGCCCGTGGTTCGCTAAGGCAGACATCCTCTTCCCCGGATCCAAGTTTGTGGGTCTTCTGTTGTGTATTTGCTCTCTCAGCATGGATCTGGACTGCCTCCACTGCTCTGGCAGGGTCTCTCATTGCAGCTCTCCCACACCTTTATCCTGAGAGTGTGCTCTCTCTCCTTTTTAAAATATAAATTTTGCTCTGCATAAATAAGACCATCCTGTTGCTACTCCACCATCTTGGAACCTCTGGTTATCACTTCTGACCAACAAGTGGTGTCCCCAACAGCCCTACTAAAGAGGAACTGATACCCTGGTGAAGTGTTACTTTCAAGATCCAGCTACATGTTCTGAATACTGTTGACTACATGTATTTGTTTCTTTTAGAAATTATGAAGCACAAATCTTCTTGACCCATGCGCAGGGTTTCCCAATAGCCAGAATCTCTCAAAGATATTCTCTGAGATTCCTGCTCTATCTTATAATGATTCTGCTTATATTTCCTAATCTATAATTCTGTTGGAGTAAAACAATCCCTTAATTCATTAAGTCCTCCTTGGCAAAACTCAGGTCTTTTCATAAGTGGGTCTCTCCCCAGCAGAAAGAAGGGGTCATCAAAGAGGGATGTACTTTTCTCTGAAGGGAGGAGAGAACTTCCACTTTGCTTATGGCCCTGTCTGAATACTGACGGAGTTTGTGGACTCAAAAGGTTTCCATAGCCTTGGCAGCTCATGTCAAGAGCCTCATGTGATCACTGACATCATAAATAAGAGTGTCAATTGCTAAGTCAACAACAGGAGTCACTGTGAACTTACTCCCCATGTAGGACTTCTGTCCTTAATGAGTTGTACTATGAGAATTAACTATAAAACTTTTTTTTCAAACAGTACTTTATACTTTGTGTGTCTGCGTGGGTGCAAATTGTGGAAATATTTACTTAGTATAGAGTTGGTCTTCTGTATATAAAATTAATTAAAAATGAATCTTAATGAAGAACAGGATGGGAGAATGAGTAGGCCTTGGGGTGGGTGTGGGGGTGGGAAGGCAGGTATGGGAGGAAGAACCACTATATTCCTAAAGCTATACCTATGAAATTTGTATTCATTAAATAAAAGCTTTCTTAAAAATAATAAGTGGGTCACTGACAGAAACTGTACTCTATCCACAACACCCACAACTTCCCTGCACACACTCTTCATTTGAGATATACCTGTTGTTGTAGGTGGATGCTGTGGGGGCACTTTGTAAATCTCTTGTCTCTCCTGTGTCTCAAACACTCTTTTCCTAAGCTTCTAGGAGTATTGGCAACTCTCAGATGAGTAGTGTGAAAATTTTTTTAGCCAACGAGCCTCCTTACCTAACATCATATCATGTCCTTGGGATTAACATATATTCAACCTCTTTAATATGAGGACACAAGGGCTCAGCTTCTTTCTCAAAGAGGTTGAACTCTGGACAGCCATCCCAGCTCCACAGCTCCCTTAGGTTCTCTGTTCTGTCTTGCAATTGCATATGAGTTCCACTCCTCTCTGTACTCAACCCTGTTTTTTCACCTGACCCCAACCATCACCCCCAAAAAGTGATTCCCAGAACAAGTCCAACAAACTTTCAGAGACAAAACCACATCTTTCTTTCATCACTTTCTGGGAAAGCATACCTGAAATCTATAATTCTACAAATATGTTTATATGTTTTCTGTTTCCTTTCTCAGGCTTTTTTTTTTTTTTTTTGACAGGCAGAGTGGACAGTGAGAGAGAGAGACAGAGAGAAAGGTCTTCCTTTGCCGTTGGTTCACCCTCCAATGGCCGCCGCGGCCAGCGCACCACGCTGATCCGATGGCAGGAGCCAGGTGCTTATCCTGGTCTCCCATGGGGTGCAGGGCCCAAGGACTGGGCCATCCTCCACTGCACTCCCTGGCCACAGCAGAGAGCTGGCCTGGAAGAGGGGCAACCGGGACAGAATCCAGCGCCCTGACCGGGACTAGAACCCGGTGTGCCGGTGCCACAAGGCAGAGGATTAGCCTAGTGAGCCACGGTGTTTCCTTTCTCAGGCTTTTCCAACTGTTATTTCCTCCTCCATTTTTTTTTTTTTTTTTGACAGGCAGAGTGGACAATGAGAGAGAGAGAGAGACAGAGAGAAAGGTCGTCCTTTTCCATTGGTTCACTCTCCAATGGCTGCTAAGGCCAGTGTGCTGTAGCCGGCATACCGCACTGAGCCGAAAGCAGGAGCCAGGTGCTGGTTTCCCATGAGGGTGCAGGGCCCAAGCACTTGGGCCATCCTCCACTGCACTCCCGGGCCACAGCAGAGAGCTGGACAGGAAGAGGAGCAATCGGGACAGAATCCGGCGTCCCAACCAGGACTAGAATCCGGGGTGCCGGTGCCGCAGGCGGAGGATTAGCCTGTTGAGCCACGGCGCCGGCCCTCCTTCATTTTCATCTGGGCCTTCCACTCATACATTAAAGACCAGCTCAGATACTATCCTATCTGAAGTTAGAATTTAAGGAACACATGAGTCTTCTTCCATCATTTCCTGCTTATTGTCACTTCCTCATAACTTATACCAATTTCTAAATACTGTCTTTTCAAACTTTTCTCCTCCACTAAAGTATTCTTAGAAGCAATTTGAGGCCAGTCTTTTAGTTTTATTCTACTTTGTATATCACATGGATAGCATAATATTTGACACATAGAAAATAATAAGTATTTGTGGGATAAATAAAGGAGTGAAGGAGTGAAAAAATGCAAATGCTAAACTGTGTGTTTCAGTCTCTAAGGGCTAGAAAAATCTGAAAATGTTGAAACAGCTCTGTTTAATAGAATGTTGTTTTATTGTCAACTGTTCCCAAGTCATGACTAGCAGAATCAACTTTTCCATCAACCATTACTATTGATTTTCTTTAATTATCAGAGAATTTGATCTAGGGATCCTAAAGAAACAGTCTATGAAAGTTTTAGTATTCTCACCGGCCCATTTTTCTAGGAGTAAAAGATCCACTGTCTTATTATCATAGCTCTTCCTCATAAATTCTAGGTTAATTTGACCTTGCATATTAAACTGGTGGCAGAATCTATTTGAAGTTCAGGATTTTGCCACAGTTTTTAAAACTGTGAATACCTGCTAAGTGCCGTACTATGAGAACAGAAAGACGAATGATCTCAATCTCTGTTCTCAACTCACAAAGGACGTGCAAACCACCCACATGCCTAAAAGACGATGAAGAATATGATAAGTGGAAATGGAAAGATGTAAAGTAGTATGGTTCTCAGACAAGAAAATGCAGCCAGCCTATCAGAGACTAGATGGTAGGGGCTGCAGTTTGATGAGAAGGGTTTCCACATGATAGAGGGAAGGATATGAGCAGGAGACTAAAGTAGAGACATGTCAAGAGATGGAACACAGGTATGGAAAACAGAAAAGAAAAACCCTTTTGAATTAGCGTTGAAGGCTGTTTCCAGGGGCTCGGGAGGTTGAGAAAAAATGTTGCTGTCAGGAAGAACAAGATAAACACATCTTCCACTAATTTCCCTTTATCTCTTTCCACCTACATCATGCATGCATTAAACATTAATGGTAACATTGTTATAATGGAGACAATGAATATGGCATTTTTGCCCAAGAAATTTCAGTTATATCAATGTCGCTATGGAATATCACTCACCATGTGGTGCCATTTCACACTGGATTGCAGAGTCTGGAGACTGCTTACTATCCAGAAGGAAGAAGGAGAGTAGTTTAAAGGGAATGCCCATGTTCCCAACCCTGAGTTAAGTTGATGGTAAAGCCCAACACACACGCGCACACTCACACACACAAACACACACACAAACCTACACGCACATACACAAAAAGTACAGATAAAATCTTTATGAATATTACTAAACAACACTTAACAAAACAATTAACAGATGGATTATGGCATCACATTGAAAGAATACAATATTACCAAGTGGTATTTATGCCAAACACACCAGTTTGCTCAATAAAACAAAATCAAAAGTACCATTCTCAACAATCATTGCTAAAAAAGAAAATCTACATAATACTTTTGTGACAAAATTTTTCGATTGTATTTTAAATCTATTCTCTATAATACTTAATGAGATAGTTTTGTAGTTAACTTCTTAACGTGATAAACACAAAATCCATTACTAGTTTGAAGTTTCTTCTAGGGGCAGCACTGTAGCACAGCAGGTTAAAGCTCTGGCCTGCAGCGCCAGCATCCCATATAAGTGCTGGTTCGAGTCCTGGCTGTACCACTTCCAATCCAGCTCCCTGCTAATGTGCCTGGGAAAGCAGCAGAGGGTGGCCCAAGTCTTGGGGCCCCTGCACCCATGTGGGAGACCTGGAAGAAGCTCCTGGCTCCTGACTTTGAATCGGTTCAGTCCTGGCCATTGTGGATATTTGGGGAGTGAACCAGCGAATGGAAGATTTTCTCTCTCTCTCTCTGTAACTCTGACTTTCAAATATATATAATAAATCTTTGTTAAAAAGGAAGTATTTCCTAGTATTACTAGAAATTAAATTACATATAAAAATTGTACATTTATAATTTTTACACTGGGTTCAGAAAATATTTCTCTGCTATTTGTACTTTTTGAAATTCATACAGAAAAGCCTATCAAAGCATGTGGATATTTTGGGGAATGTTCTATGAGCATTAAGGGAAAAATATACATTCTTTGTCTCCATGGATGGAATTGATTTATGGCTGTCCCTCTTTCTCTTCATGTCCTCTCTCTCTTTCTCCCTTTCTCCCTCTGACATGCACACACACACACACACACACATACACAGACACTTATTTCTCTTTATTGTGTCCTAAAGCCTTACTTGTTCTCTGGTTCCTCAATGGCATGTTGACAGAAGTCAATTAAATTCTTCCACCACTAATGCTGAAAAAGAATATTATGTATTAACACATAAACCAGTAACATTATTATAGTTCTGTTTGTTTCATCAGCTTTGGTGCTACAAATTTTATAATGTTCTAAGATATGAAGATTGTATTAGTTATCCATTGCTATGTATCAAATTAACACAAATTTAATGTTCTAAAAAACACTGATTTATTGTTTGTCAGTTTTCTGCAGGTCAGGAAAATCTATCTCATCTTTCCTGTATTCTCTGCTCAGGTCTCATGCAGCTGAAATCCAGGGGTTACCTGGGACTGTTATCTTATTTGAGTCTCAGGGTCCTCTTCCAATGTCACTTAGGTGTTAGCAGAGTCCCCTTCTTTGAGGTTGTGAGACTGAGGGCTCTGCTGTTTTCCTGGCTGTGACACAAGGCATCTCTCAGCTCTGAGAAGCCATTTGCAATTCCTCTCCAAATACCCCTTCCAAAGGGGTCCCCACCCTACCAGACTCTTTTTTTTTTTTTTTTTTTTGATAGGCAGATTTAGACAGTGAAGACAGTGCGAGAGAGACAGAGAGAAACGTCTTCCTTTTTCCGTTGGTTCACCCCCAAAGTGGCCTCTACGGCCGGTGCATTGTGGCCAGTGCGCTGCGCCGATCTGAAGCCAGGAGCCAGGTGCTTCCTCTTGGTCTTCCATGCGGGTGCAGGGCCCAAGGACCTGGGCCATCCTCCACTGCACTCCCGAGCCACAGCAGAGAGCTGGACTGGAAGAGGAGCAACCGGAATAGAATACGGCACCCCAACCGGGCGTATAACCTGGGGTGCCGGTGCCGCAGGTGGAGGATTAGCCCCTAGTGAGCCATGGCACCAGCTTCCTACCAGTCTTTTACATTTGTCCTTGACTTTCCAGACCAGACTTAACAGGCTCATGTTTTGTGAGGCTCTCTCAGATAATCTCCCTCTTAATTGACTAGTAACACTGATCACAGCCATACAATGCCTTTTGATGTGTTATGCAACATAATTACAAGAGTGAGACCCTGTCATAGTCACAGCATAAGCAGTATTCTTTCTTAACTTCTCAGCTTCCAGGGGAGGGACTTATAACAAAGCATGAATGCCAGGGACAGGAGTAGTGGAGGCCATTTTTTATTTTATTTTTTTACCATTTACATTTTTAATATTCCTTTGTATTTTTTCTTTTTGTTATAAATTTTTCAATTATTTGATATTTTCTTTTTAATTCCTATTTATTGCTTTAATCATGAATTTCAATTCTGAAATTCAAATTTGTCTGAATGAAGACCCCAATTTCTGTTTCATTGTTGTTATTACTTATACTCTTCTGGTATTCTTTTTTTTCTCAATTTTTATTTTCATTATTTTAAAATAATTTATTCAATGTTATTTTTATTTTTTTGTAAGGCAAAGAGAGAGAGCCAGCACTCCCACTTAGTGGTTTGCTCCTCAAATGCCCACCATAGCCAGGATTGGGGTGGGTCAAAAGTGGGAAGTAGGAATTCAGTTTAGGTCTTACCTGGGTGGCAGGGACCCAGTAACTGCATCAGTTATCACCTGCTGCTTCTTAGGGTACACATTAGCAGGAAGGTAAAATTGGATGCAGAGACAGGACTCAAACCCAGACACTCCAGTATGGAATGTGGGTATCCCAAATGGCATCTTAACTGTTATTCCCAGGCTCACCCTATGGAGACTGTTTTCTAAGTATTTCTAGTATGTAGCATACTGTTAGATTTATTTGTAACTTATGCCGGCACCGCGGCTCACTAGGCTAATCCTCCGCCTTGCGGCTCCAGCATCCCGGGTTCTAGTCCCCGTCGGGGCGCCAGATTCTGTCCCGGTTGCCCCTCTTCCAGGCCAGCTCTCTGCTGTGGCCAGGGAGTGCAGTGGAGGATGGCCCAGTCCTTGGGCCCTGCACCCCATGGGAGACCAGGATAAGCACCTGGCTCCTGCCATCGGATCAGCGTGGTGCGCCGGCCGCGGCGGCCATTGGAGGGTGAACCAACTGCAAAAAGGAAGACCTTTCACTCTGTCTCTCTCTCTCACTGTCCACTCTGCCTGTCAAAAAAAAAAAAAAAAAAAGATTTATTTGTAACTTAACCTTTCTCCTTATAGATGAGCTCAATCCATTCTTATTTACATAACAGATTTTGCCATCCTATTATATTTTATGTGTCTTGTTGTTGTTACTATTCAATACTTTATTATTTGGAGTGTGTATGTGAGAGAGAGGGAGAGAGACGGGGATGTGGAGAAAGGGAGGAGAGAGGGGAATGGGTTTGTGGCTATCTTTAATATGAAAGGCTCATAATCCTGTTAGGATGCTGCTTAGAATGACCATCACTTGACTTGATACATTGATTCCTCAAACTCCAGGCAGAATCTGTTGATTCCTAGCTATAAACATAGATACAATTTGCTGATTTCTATTTTCTCCATTTCCTCGTTCCTCATAAAATTTATTAATTAAACTGGTGAAATCTTTATACCTTTGTTTTTATATTTACATGATTACTCAATAATCCCAATTTTCATGGTGAAGAAATCAATGTACTTATGTTCCTTACCCCATTTCTTATTTTCTTTATAATTTCAAGACATTTAATTTGAAATTCAGAGTTACAAAGAGAGAGGGAGATACAGAAAGAGAATGAGAGAACTTCCATCAACCGATTAACTCCTCAGATAGCCCCAGTGGACAGCACCGGGCCAGGCTGAAATCAGGAGCCTCATCTATGTCACTCACGTGGGTGACAGGCGCCCAAAAGGTTATACCATGTAGGCCTACTTTCTCAGTCTATTAGCAAGGAGCTGGATGGAAGTGGAGTACCTGGGACATGAACCAGCACCCATATGGGATGCTTGCATCACAGGCAGTGACTACCCCACAATGCCAGTCCCTGTAATCATTAGTAGTTATATCATTTGCATGCTTTCAAGGTTTATAATATTTGCATTAAGTTTTATAACATTAACTTCACCTTCCTTTATGTCTTAAACTTACATTCAACAGTGCACACTGCCAGGCTTTCTCTATTTGTCTGAGTTAAAGTTCATTTTATGTTGGTATAATTAAGAGGGGCTCTGAAGAGTCACATTCCTTGAATTTTTCATGTTCAAAACTGTTTGTTACACTGAATCACACTTTGGGTAAAACATTCTCAAGCCACAATGTTTCCTTTTAGGATTTCACAGGGTCTGTGCTATTGTTATCTAGCTATAGAAAAGGACAAGGTTAGTTGGGTTTTTATTTTATTTTCCTATGTAGAGTAACTTTTTTTTCTTTTCTTGGATTTACAATGAATTATTTATCTTTGAAATTAACTCTAAAAGAATACAGCTAATTATGGATTGTCTTGAGTTAATTTTTCTTAGGTCATAATCTGGTTTGCAATGTATATATTAATGGAAAGTTTTATTAAAATTTTTGTTTAAAGATTTTATCTTTTGTTATTTTGGGTCTCTACTTTGGTGACACTAATTATGCTTCTATTAGTTCTCCTTTCAAGTCTTTTTAGCTTACCTAGAATTTGTGCTTCATGCTCCTTACCGTACTTTAACAATGTTTATTTTCTTGGTGCTGTTTCCAACATAGACTTCGTTTTGTGAGAATATGCCCCTACTCCACTTTCTTATTGAGCTGTGCTATTTTATTCTTAAACTGCTATAGCTGTACTTGGATATCACATTTTAGAGATGGAGTTGCTTTATTCAGTTTAAAAAATTATCTTCTCTTTGACAATATTTTCTCAGAGTTACTTGTCATTGGTTTATCATTGCCTTTCTAGATTTTCTTGTAACAATCTTCATTTTGACCTTACATTCACTTAGTTTTTCATTATGATTCATAAGTAAAAGAGATGATTTTTTCCCAGTTCAAACGTTTGCAAGACTTTCACCTGTAGGAATTCTCCACCTGACCCAGAATGTGACTTGACTCCCTTAGCCTCCCCTCCAGCTGTGCCACCCCAGCAGCTCCAGAGTGCCTGCAGAGCTGACCTCCTTCCAGCTGTCCCCCTACAGCAACACTTTGTGTGTGCTTTCTTGGATATTCCTGTGTCACCAACTTATCCCGGTGCCAAATCAAAACCAGGGAAGAACTTTCAATGTCCACATCCCATTCCCACTTCTCTAAGATGCTCACCTTGCTTTTCTCATGTCCTCATCAACCAAGAGAAGCATTAGCCAACTCCCCATGGAGATGTCCCTGAGACCATACATAAGGACAAAAGTCCCATTGCAGAAATGCTCTATTTACTCAAAATTCAGCTATTTAATAGCTAGTGTGCTTTCAGTATCTTTTCCAAACAAGTTGTGTTATTGCTCAATCAAAGGGTTTGCTATGACAAATGTTTGCTGCTTCAGTTCTCTTAGGTTAAATACATACAGGAGGAAACTTTAGGACATATATGGAATATACCTCATAATTTTTACTTTTAATAGGTGAGTATGGTTTATTTTAATTAACAAATGACCACACTCTTTTGTTTTTTTTTTTTTAATATTTATTTATTTCAGAGGGTAAGTTACAAACAGAGAGAGGGAGAGACAGAGAGAAGGGTCTTCTGGTTCACTCCCCATGTGACTGCAACTGCCAAGGCTGGATCAATCCAAAGCATGGAGCCAGGAGATTCTTTCAGGTCCTCCATGTGGGTTCAGGGGCCAAAGCCCTTGGGCCATCTTCTACTGCTTTCCCAGTCCATTGCAGAGAGCAGGATTGGATAAAGAGCAGGTGGGATAGGAACTGACACCCATATGGGATGCCAGCGCCACAGGTGGAGGCTAAGCCCACTATGCCACAGTGCCGGCCACTTTTGTTGATCTTTAAACTACTCAGTCTTATGATATTTTCACTACCAGGTGAGATTTTCTATTTCCTGATTCCTTGAAATCCAGCTTCACTGGGGAAAATAAAATGTTTCCTGGAGGGGATTTCAATTTCAGATCTTGAGTGCTTGGAGTCAGACCAAACTTGGCTAGATAACAACTTATAGGCTGTTAGACAGCCAGAAGAAAACAT